AAACCCCGCGTGTGAGCGAGGGGTATAAACGCAAATGGCTTGGTTTGAGGCACTTTACTTCTACAACGTGGGTTAGTGAATGGACGATCCGGCATGAGGTCATGGCCAAGCAACCCCTGGACAACTAATGCGTCATGCAGTTTCAAGAGCCCTTGAATTGAAGCAACAGTCATTTACTTTTGTAGGATTGATTAACATGATTGTGATGTAATTTACTGGGATATTCCATGATTTGACGATGACCACCTGACCAGCGATCGTTACCGTAGACTTGAGAGGCTTTGTTTCAGCCAGTTTGCACGACTCGCGCTAGGGGCTTGGGCATTGGAATGTGTGAAACTTTGAAAGAATGACTTGCAGGTGCTTGAAGTGGAGGGAGCTAAACGTTGGAATCAGTGGGTTTCAGATCATACAAAGGTGGAGATGCCGTTGAGAAATGGTGTTGGGACTTTTTGGAATGAATCCTTTCCCTTGACTCGTAAAGTTGAGAGCTAGAAGCTGAGGCGTTAGACGTACGTTGTTCGGGGAATGCCGTATCTTGAGTTTTTGCTAGAGAGTGAACTTTGTCATGTATGAAACCGTTACAATCAGCCATTGTCTACTTAGTAAAAGTTTCTTTCGTGGATGAAGGCTGTTACTGAGAGAGGCTTAGCTAGTGGTGGTGTGGGTGCAGCGAGCGGCTACAAGGCCAATGAGTGCACAGGTGAATTACCTTGCTTTTCCCTTTTTTCGCGGTTTTTACCACGTGTGGCATATGGAGGGTAGAGGAGGGGCTAGAGGGAGGAGAGGTTGGGGGCCAGATTGATATGCTGGATCTTGCATCTGGGAGGCACATGTGATCCAATGTGATGTGATAAGACGGAAGGGGGGGTCTCGATTGAGGCCGCAGTGAGAGAAATATCCCAGTCTAGAAATGTTTGCATGTTGGGGTTCTACAGAGCGCATTTCTACTGTATGTGGTCTGTGAACAACCCCCAATTGTAACTGTAACCTTGATACCACACCACACCACGATGTGATGTGATGTGTGTCCGGCAAAGGTCCCCCTTCCCCCCGTGCGCCGGCGTCTAAGACGCCCGTCATCCCGTGAGGGAGGTTGGGATTATTGCAATGCGTATAGCCGTGATTACATCCTGGGGATGACAGGTGTGTAACACTCACGGGCTGGATTCATACCTAAGCTGCGAGGCTCAGCCTGCAGAAAGAATTAATAAGTAATGTAACCCCGACAAAATATGCACAACGTAACGTAAGCAGTGCATACAAGGCTGAGCGTGCAGTAAATAATTAATTATAGAATGTTAAGCTCAACCTCTTATATAGCAAGATATGCCCTGTTGTAGAACTCTATGACACTTGGATGTCTCGGCCCAGTGCCGTGGGATGATTATTATGTACGACATCAGCTGAAAAAAGCTTCGTGTCGCACAAAACGTTGCACCTGTCTGATTCGTTTGTTAGACGCAGCATGTTGTTGTAAGTGAGATAGTCGGGAGTATCCTGTGAGAGACGGACACGTTTGACGGGTGTATCGATTGAGCTACATATACATGCGGGTAGATTCTTTCTCAGCCTTGCAACGCTGGGTTTTTGTCGACGGACACGAGCATGTCTCGTCTCAGACTTGTGTGCGGCAGAGGTTAGATTAGCTTGACTAGTACCTCGAGCGAGTTGATGCTGGGAGGTTGTAGCACAAGTGGCGCTGTTTGAGCTTCGTGTAAGTGAATGGCGAGTATCCCCTCTTTGGTAGCGGGCTCGATATCGCGCTCCTGCGAGTCGCCGATGTACACGATATCTTGCGGTGCGATCTGAAGATGATCAAGTACCTTGCCGAAGAGTCCATCGATCTTGGCCACACCGAAGAAGTTTGTGGTCGCGAGAAAGTTGATGTACTTGTCGATGCCCAGGTCTCTCACTGCTCGTTGCTGTGCATCCTGCGGTCCTTCTGTAATCACTGCGATCTTCCTTCCGGACGCCTTGATTGCTTCGAGAAGAGAAACAGCTCCTGGTTTGAGTGTCAAGTTATCCACAAGAACACGCTCGTAGTCCTCTAGCAGCTTATCGACACTATCGTGACTCAATCCAAAATAGCTCAATGTGGCAGCGAAGCGAGCGCGACGGTAGTCATGTGAGGTTTTTCCGTCGGTGAATGCATCGGCGGTTCCTTGCTTCAGAATGATTCCGTATTGGGTTTGAAGATCTTGGAGTGTAGTTGATGGGTTTTCGTTGGCGATGCGTGTAAGAACGCGAGTTGTGGCTGCGCGGCTGGCTTTGCGGAATTCATGGAGAGTATCGTCTAGATCGAATCCGAACCAGGTTCTAGTCTGTAGGCTATCATGTAGCTGACCCCCATCTTTCTCGGTGGCAGAAGACATTACAGTGACGTTTCAAGGTGTTGCGAATAGGTTATTGCGAGAGTTGAGTGGATGTTTTTATAACGCACGCATGAACAGTCCGTCAAGGCGTGATCAACGGAGCATATGCTTGATCCGCTTTAAACCTAATTAAAACAAAACTCTACTCTCAATTTAACAACATGTTTAAACCCACCCCATATATTCCAAGCGGCTTCAAAGCTTCCTCTTTTTCTATTGACCACTCGGCAGCACCTGAGAGTCCACACGAAGTCTCGGGTAGGTGACTTCTCACTCCAAGTTGACTTTCAACATTCAGTCAACACCATCCTCTTAAGGTCAGTCCTAGACCGTATGGACAGTCGTCTCATAGATTTACAAGCCGGCACCAGTATTTTGACAACATTTTTTACTACTTTCTGGGGCCTTCAATTTTGTAGATGAAGTTGATTGACTACAGAAAGTCTTATGATTCAACACTCCAGTCCCATAAACCTCCAAAGTGCTTATCATTTCATTTATTATTAAAGAATTATCGGAATCCCTCTGGTATCTTAATTCCTACTACTTATGAGACATCTTACCTATCTTATATGAATCCTGTCATTATTGTCACTGAAGGTCGGATTCATGTGAATGCAGCGGTGATGACTAAGCGTGCAGTAGCTGGTCAAAATTCCCCATCATCTCATGCGAGAGGTTGGGTTGGATCAGCTCAACCCGAGGTTCAATAAACAACAAGAACGGTCGCAGTTACAACGCCTGGCAAGTCAATTGGGGTCAAATCAACACAGAGATACCCTGGACTTTTCTGAGCTGTTAAAAGTCTCATCACGTCACAATGCACTATGTCAGATTTCTGGGGCCACCCAAGGTGATTAAGAACCGCCGCGGCACCCTGGTACAGCTGCTCTTCACCATCACAACAGACCTTGGCGACTCATTCCTCTTCCCAGAAAGGTTTCTAGACCTACAAGTTGTCGCCATCGCCGCTTCACCCGAAGGAAGCTCAACATGGCTCCTCTCAGACCCCGGACATCTCGACTGGGAACCCGGCATGCGCGTTGCAAAGCCAGCATTGGAAATGCCCGTCGCTCTTGAACGAGCTCTTGAATCTGGAATGAGAGTCCATGTCTGTGTCCGGGCATCAGAGCCTGTTCACACCGCGGAGAGTGTCCCACGCATTCTGGCCTTGTCGGCCGAGAAGATGCGGTATCGGAAGGAAGCTGCAGAGAAGGGCGCTGTCATGCCAGCTTGGGTGCCTCTAACTCTCACACCAGCAGACAATGCTGTGTCGATTCGAAGACTCCAACTGAACGACACACCTGAGGGGCTGGGAACAATTGAGATTGAGGAGGAGATCGGTGAGAGCATTGCGCGTCACATCTGGGATGGCGGCGTGATAGCGACGTGCGCACTTGCAGGTATCGAGACTGCTCCCGATTGCGAGTCCAGTCAAAACCCCTGCATGAGAACAATGAAGAATATCTTCACCCGTCAGAAGTCGATCCGTGTGTTAGAATTGGGTTGCGGTGTGGGCATCTTGGGTGTTGGGCTCGCCGCTGTGTACCCCCGACTGCAGCCTGAAGGTGGCGACTGCACCATCCTCATGACTGATCTACCGGAAGCTGAGGAGCGCGCGAGATCTAACATGAAAAGGTTGGAAAATTCTCATCTACGCTTCCAGGAGAACCCTGTTCGAATGCTCTACGAAAATCTTGACTGGGAGGAGGGCAGACAAGGTCGCTTTGGACCCGACGTTCGATCTGGACCTTGGGATCTTGTGATGCTCAGCGACTGCACTTACAATGTCGACATGCTGCCAGCACTTGTTGAGACGCTCTCAGCCATCCATGCAGCAAATCTGACCTACTTCCCGCAAGGCGAGCCATTTACTACAAAAGTATTCCTAGCCACCAAGCCTCGCCACGAATCAGAAGACGTTCTGTTTGAGCTTATGGACAAGGAAAGCTGGTACAGCGTTCACAAGCAAGTCTTGCCGAAGCCTGTCCTTGGTGGTGTGCCTCAATCTGTCGAGCTTCATCTATTCGACAAATCTGGGCTCAGCGATGGCAGGGGTGAGATGAGGGGGGAGGACAAGAAAGAGGAAGATAAGGGAAAGAAGCACAAGGGAAAGAAAGAGAAGGAGAAGGAAAAGGAAGCACAAGACTAGGCTGAAGCTGCAAAGGGCCTCAGGCAATTCATCGCAAGGCGACCGCATACCAAAACGTGGATAGCCAATTGTCCAAACAATGCGCTCACCGTCACACAGCAACAAACACCTCAATAGGCTACTGCGACGACTTTTGCTTTGAGGCTCGACTCTGCAGACAATGATGGTGCCGAAAGGCTCAATGTCATTGGGGTTACCCCGCGTGTTGTGTAACGCCCTCCAGCCCTGATATTTCGAGGATTGGACACAGCGATTGGAAACGAACCAGTAGGAGGAATGGGCGGGGTGGAAGATGACTTGCTTAATTGACCGGTGTGGTGGTGTGCTGATGAGTTGTCCCTCAAGCCCACGAACGGACCATGAGGCTCTGCGATGGCCTCAAAATCGAGAATCCCCGATCGTGTATTTAGCGACGAGTTTAAAATGTCCACCATTTCTAGCGATAAAATTGATACTTCATTCTTCAGGCAATCATGGCAGATACAAAGGTCAAGGTCAATGGCCATACTAATGGCAATGTCAATGTCAATGGCACGACCGACAAGACAACCACCAAGAACACCAAGCTATGGCAACTCCTCGCTCTAGCAAAGGAAGTCTCCAAAGATGTCGGCTCAATCGAAGACTTTGAGAAATCAGCTGAGGAGCGAGAAGCTCTCAAGCAAGAACTCGAAGCCAAACAAGGCGAGAACAAGCGTCTCCGCGAATTCAACGACAAGATCGTGCGAGAGTTCTCAGACCACAAAGCACAAGCCAACGCAAAGACTGAAACACTCTTTGCAGAATTTGAACAGAAGTATAAAACTTATGAGTCTAACAAGGCAGCCGTTGAAGCCATGGAGAGAGAGGTCAAAGAAGCGAGGGAGAAACTCGCTGCTGCGGAGGTGAAGGAGGGAGAGGTCGAGAGTTTGAAGCAGAATCTGGCGGCTGCGGAGGCGCATTTGACCAGTCATGCTTCTGAGATTAGAGAGATGAATGCGGAGTGTGAGTTGCAGAAATCGCAGATGGAGGCTAATATCGAGGAGTTGAAGGGGTGTAAGGAGAAGTTGACGCAGGCGCAGAGTGATCTTGGGGAGGGTATTCTGCGAGACTTTGGAACTGAGGAGGTCAAGAAGTTGTGAGTAATCTCTCTGATGTGAGAAATGGGTTGAACTGACGAGGATAGGCGATCTGACCTCCAGGAGCTGTCAAAGAAGGTTCACGACTTTGTCAATGAGTATTTCAACGACCACGATGGCGCACAGGTAGGACCACGCGTTTTGCGCTCTCTGAATTATACTGACAACTGCTAGGACTCTGCGAGCGAAATACAGGAACTTCACGCCCGTTTTCCCAAGATCCCGCTCTCAACTCGCACCACCAAAGCAAGTGCCAAGATGCGCTGCGCTGTCGCTGACGCTGTAATCGCGGAAACACTCCTCTCTTATGTCTTTGTCCCCTTCTACGTCGCCAGCGACATGAGGGCCACTGCATCTAGTATGCTTGGCTTCTTTAAAGGCGATGAGCGCCGAGAGACAGTGTATCGCTCTCAAATTCTCGGATCCCTCTCTGATTCTGAGCAAACTGAGACGGTCCAAGAGGACATTGTGCGCAAAGCGAGCAACGAGGTGCGAAGCACTCTGCACCCGCTCGTCGTGGCGTACAAACAGACTGGCTTCTACAATGCTGTCCCAACACTGTTCAGACAGGCTGTTGCACTTTGGGCCGATACGCAGCGCTCTCGCGACATGATCACTGCAGAGATGCCCGATGAGGAAGATTCTCGAGGTGCGCGCCAGTATGATGACTACGACGTCGGCAATGCTCGCAAGACAAAGGGAAATCCTAAGCCGGCGGTCCTCGCGATTCTGTTCCCGCAGTTCGTCTGTCGCGATGAAGTCATCGCCGAGGGCGTGGTTCTCAGATCCGACCAAGCTGCTGTTCTTGAGGCGCTTGAGGAGGCAAAGGATAACGGAGGTGCGAATGGTGATACGAAGAAGAAGCCTGGAACACGAAGGAGATCTTCTGCGGAACCAAAGTCTCCGCTTCGCAAGTGACTCTCACGGCTGTTCTGTATACGGAGAGAGGAGGAAGTGATTGATGTTTGGGTTTGATGTGATTGTACATGGTAGGGAAAACACGAGGAAGTGGGATTGCATATGTATGTTTGAACTTTGGTGCATTTTGGATGTAGATATTAAAAACGAGAAGAAAATAAATCAAAATTTGCGGTAATTGCTTCTTTTCCCGGTGTTGATTTTGGTGCAAACAGCGAATATCGCAGTTGTTATGAGCGCATAGAATGGTGATCCTGTCAATTGCATCGGCTTTCTGGTATTTATACTGAGCTTGACACAATAAGACTGTTCCATATGGGCAAAGATGAGGCAATAGCTGGCAATTAATAATTTATCAGAGAATTTTCTGTGATTTATTCCCGAGCTAGATAATCTGACTCCAGTTAGGTGACGTTAAGCAGATTCATTAACACCAGCTCGAACCTTGCTCCGCCTCCGATGTAGAAGATACCCTACTCCAGTGGGCAGAGAGTCTCCCTTTAGTCTTCGTCTTCGTCTCCGTAACCGTAGTAGCGGGCCCATTTCTCCATTTCCTCGTCGTAATCGACAGTCTGCGAGGCATCTTGGTTGTGACCAGTAAGGCTTTGCTGCCGTTCCTCTACAAGTTTTCGTATGGTCTCCTGCTGTTTATCTACAGTCCGCTGCAGTTTACCGAATCTTGTTGCCAGTTGGGTCAGGAGGTGTCGTGCATGCTGTCCCTGGTCAACTGGGTGGTTTCACCAGGTAAGATCAGTGCCAATGTCGCCCCCGTAGCGTCTCTGGACAGAACCTCTGATAGCCGCTCCGACGGCGCTGGCATTGAGTTTTCCGAGTCCGTAGATACCTACGAGAACGAACCAATTCTCGTAGGTGATGTTGTACCACCAAGGTCCCCTGACCTGCTTGTCCCACATCTTTTCAGCCAGAGGGAAATTTAAATCCCTTAACGAGGAGCAATTGGAGGGCAAGTCTGGTGCCAGTAGCCGCGGTACTGGTACGATGGCTTAGTTCGAGAACTCTTGTTGTGGTGAAAAGCGCCCTCCTTCAGGAGACTGGGGATGTTGTCGCGCACGTCGCGGGGCGTACCGGGAGCCTTCTCCTTGAACATCTCGACGATATGGGCCGCAGTCTGTTTGTTGGCATCCTTCAGAACCCCCATGGGCAGGTCGTCAACAGTCAGACTGTTGACTGGGTCATCACTGAGAATCACCACACCGCCTTCGTCAGCTACCTCGACGACGGTAGCTGGTGTTGCCCTCGGCTTGGGGCCAGCCATCTCGTTGCTCTGCTACGGTTCGTTAGCAAATATTTAGTAGGCTACGTTCATGGGATCTGGATACTCACACATTGCAACGCATAATTGTATGTGATCTTGCAAAAGTGGGTGTGAAATTGGAAAGTCGGTCTTCCCGCGCAGATTGGAGAGATGAGTGCCCAGAGAAGATGAGGATGTTGGCGGGTATTTAAGATTGTGCTGATTGCTGGCATCAAGGTGCACGAGTTGTTGACGCGAGAGATTTGCGTTTCTGATGTTTGTGTACCAGCTTGATTTCCCCCCCTTCACATTATCATTATGCAACAGAATCTGTTTGAGTCAAAGTGCGAAAGTGTACGTTCTATCGTGTTCCAAAAAGTTCTCTTATTACAGATGCTGAAGCTATTGTGCACTCCTGGCAGCTGTTGACAGCTGCGTGTACTAGCAAAGTCGCTGAGTTTTCTATATAAACCATATACCATCTCACGCTTTCGGAATTTTCTTGATTCTGCTTTTCTTTTCCTTCATCATCTCACTTTCTCTTTTCACAGTCTCCAAATTGACTCACATCAGTCACTACCCAACATGTCTTATAGCGGTGACCAAGGAGGGCGTGCACTAGGAAATATCACTGGCTTTCTATATTAACTATATGCTATCTTATACCTTTGGAATTTTCTTAATCCTTCTTTCATTCCCTTTATTAACTTATTTTCTTTTTGAATTCTCTAAATCTACTTATATTAGTTGCTACCCCATAGATCTGACGGCCATGACTAAGGAGGGCCGCAGCCTACACCATCCAAGAAAGCGCGGGCAAAGTCTGAGGAGCAGGACACTGAAGAAGGTATAGAACTTAAGAGTGCTCTGCCTTGCATTCTATGCTTCAAGAACGCTCTCACCGTGGCGTCAAAAAACCATCGTAACTCTTCCGGAACAGCTCATCGAAGTGCTCACATTCGACTGCAAGTTTCCTTATACCAACTCCAAGAAGTGCATGAACTGTGACAAGAACATCAACCGGTATTTAACTTGAACCGAGCTCAGAGATATTCATACTAACTGGGTGTAGCATACTTGCAATGATGAATGGCAACTACATGGATATTATCTCCATTTTCAAGGCTGCCGGCAAAATGTTAAAGGACGGGACGGATCGCTTTCAGGACGCGCACAAACTTGGCATCGTCAAAGCCCTGATCAAGTTCGGCCAACACTCTGAAGTCCTTGTCAACACTCATGCTCTGACGCTCGATGATATTATATGAACTTAGGGCCTGCTATGATGAATTTAGGGTCTCTTATGATAAGTTTAGGATAGAATTTACTTCTCTACTCTGCTTCTCGTCATAGTTTAGGATATATCTCTCCATCACATCTCGGGCCATTCTTGATGCGGCTGCAAGCGTCGCAATAGTTAAGAGGCTATTTAATTGCAACTCCAAGGCGTTCTTAACGGCGTAGGATGTTCCAACTCGAAAGAATTATCTCTCTGCTGTGATAATGTTTCATCCATCTATCCAACCACATAAAAGCAATCACGTGATACGTACGTTTCATTCGAGCTGCAACCAACATTGGAGGGTTGCGTGAGGTTTGCTAACTTACCGACAATCAGCTACCTCACGCATGCCAATCGTATCATCATAATTTCAGAAATTTCAACTTGGTCGAGAGCCGCTCCTGCCTGTCTGGTAACTCGAGCCTAACATTTGCCCCTATACAATGGCCAAGACCAAGGACCTGATGGCTGTCTCGTCGCAGGCTGAGCTCAGACATGTGTTGGACCAACTCCATGAGCAGGAGGACGCTCTCATCTACAAGCTTGATGCCCGAATGAAGGACAGTAGGAACTTGTATCAAGATATTGACGGCCTTGATAGTCTCCATGGAAACCTGGATATGCAACTCATCGTAGCTCGAAGCATCCATAGCGCAATGCTATCTCCCGCAGGCGACACCGCTGGGCGACTATCCACCATGATACGCGCTTTAGATATGGAGAAGAGAAGAGTAGAAGCTACGCTAATTGTTATCGAGCAAGTTATGGAGCTCAAGACGTGTATAGCTGGTCTCATAGGCAGCATGGGTGCTCCTCAGGACTGGGAGGCTGCCGCCAACTACCTCTCACGCGTATCGAATATACCCGAGGATATTGTTCACGGGGACTTCGCTCTAGCCGTTGTCCCAAGCATTGAGGCTCCAGATCCCCCATGGACTACAATTCAGACTGCTCGCAAAAGCCTCTGCACTCTATTCTTGAGGGAATTCAACGCCGCTGCCGCACAAGGTGACGGTGCAAAGGTCGAACGGTTCTTCAAGCTATTCCCAGTCATTGGAGGTGGTGCGGAGGAAACGGGGCTGGAAGCCTACGGACAGTATATCTGCCAAGGTGTGGCGGAAACAGCCCGATCAGCTCTCAGGCGACCACAAGAGGAACGTGGCAGACAGAACGATTTGTTTTACGCAAATAACCTAGCACGACTCCTTGAGCACATTGTGCAAATCACCAGCAGCCACAGTGGTCTGGTAGAGAGGCACTACGGCGCTGATAAAGTCGTGAAGGTCATTGAAAGACTTCAAAAAGAGGCTGACATACAGGGCGGAATTATCTTGGATACTTGGAGCGAAGAGCGGTCGGTTGCCAGGATTATGGCTGACATTAAGAGTTACCCATTCTCTTTTCTCTCGAAAAGCATGGTGCCATTTCAGAGAGGCATTAGTTTTGCGCTACGAGGCAACGAAACGAACAAGGATAAATTCAACTTGGACGTGAAGAAGGTTGAGGAGCTCTTTGGAGAAATGACATCAATGCTGAGGAGTTGGTCACTTTACAAACGACTTGTTACAAGTAGATGCAAGGTGAGAAACAAATCTATATATGCTATCACTTACTGACCATCGGCTTTAGGGCGTTCTCGACCACGAAGAAAAGCAACCGCCTCCGAAATTTCTGGATCAATGTGATCTACACAAGAAGGTCTCAGAGAAGCTCATAGAGCCATATAAACTTACGGCAACATTTCTCTTCCGAAGATCAGTAGAGAAGGCTTTTGAGATGGATACTGCGCCAAGTGGCCTCTCACTATTGAAGCCATGCGATGGCAGTCCACCATTTATTCTGCAAGCCTTAGACGACGTAATGTACGTCGTGGACAATCTTCTACAGCATGTCCTGTCTACGGGAAACAGAGAGGTGACCGTCTCTGCCACATCGGCTATCAGCAGGGTCCTCGAATCTGATTTCATCGGGATCATCCATAGGCGCATGAAAGATGAGTGCTATCCCAAAGCAGCCGCTCAGGGTGGGTTTCCACGGGAGGAAAAAGTCATCAGCTTCATGGTTTTGATGAACACTCTTGACATGGCAAAAGAGTACTTAGACCGTATTTTAACCTCCAGAGGTTACGTCTTAGAAACCCAAGGTGCTGATGTGGCTATCTCATCTACGCAAACACTCAACGACTCCTTTACGTTTGGCAGGGATGCCGAAATGGTTTTGAATGGACTTCGGAGGCTGAAAGATGCACTATGTGCTAAAGCTACAGAGCTTCTGAACGATGGCATACTTGCACTGTTTGATGAGGTGTTGTGGCCTCCGATCAGGCTGATCCTCACAACCTCTTTCCAAAACGCTGTTTATGATGTGTCGGAAGGGGAGCCATTGGCCGAAGAGGATGTTGATAGAGAGACAATACAGCAAGTGTCGTTGCGATTCGAGGCCAAGTGGTTAGCCTTGACACGGCCACTGAAGCACATCATGACGCCGAGAACATACGCAGCGTTGGCTTGCCTCGCAGCTAACAAGCTGGCAAGGGTGCTAGAGAAGCGTGCTTGGAGTTCCTCTGGTCGTGTGACTACATTTGGCGGTTTGCGGTTGGAGTCGGACTTCTCTGGTATCATAAGCGTCATCGCCAAGGACGACTACACCCTTCGCAAACCGTTTGCCCGATTGCAAGAGATTCTTGAAGTTGCTAACATGGAAGACGATGAATGGGATGAGCTTGAATCAGCATACGGCTCGTCTAGGCAAGAAAGAAGCAGGTTACTACTCAGCGACGAGGACATAGAAAGGTCGCGTAAGATCGTGAGAAGATAGTCATTATGCCAACAGACACAGCAAGTTTATCAGCTAAGCGATGCTCCGCTACGAACCATCTCACTAGTGACATTGAGCTTAGATGTCGTCTACTTCAGTCTTGAGACCTATACTAGTCTGAATTAACATCTAGGTATCCTAATAGTAAATCTCGTAGAAGTTTAGGTAAAGATTTAGGATGAGAAAGCCTTAAAGTGAGGGCAAAGTTATGTATTAAATGAGGTAACTAGTGTTCCTCTCTATGTATAGTCTATGGTCAACTTTTCATCGTACCCGTCACAAATCTTGCAAACCCATCACATCGTCTATAATTAACGTCTTTGCTCTTTAGCGTCGGTTGAAGTTGAGGAAGCGGCTCTGAAATAGAAGTTAGCAATCGTTCTCAAGGATGGTGCTCAAACAGAATTACGTACCGCCAAGATAATGATGATTAAGTTACTTGCGATGAAGCAAGCATAGATCCCCAAATCTCTCCAGCGATTGTTGAAAGAGAGATCAAAGGTACTGTAAAACTCATCGCCCACCTTGTACGCGCAATACTCGCAGTCCCTTGTGTCGTCATTGACAAGATAGCCACGACCGCCATTGGCGAAGAAGGGCTCCATGTACTCTCCACAAGTACTGTTAGAAGGCGAAGTGAAGCGGTTGAGTTCGCTTTGCTTGCAGACAACCTCAACACCGTGGAGGGCAGTTGTGACCATGGAGCTGATCAGACGGGTGAAAGGGTCCAGTTGGTACATCCAGGCACGCCAGAAACCAGGAATTTGAGGCTTGGGGATCGTAACACCACAGAACAAGGCGAAGTTGATGATGATGAATGGATCAAATTGCGCCGAGATGAAGGGTGAGGGGGTGATACTGGCGAGGGCCTGTCCCAGCGTGACTGAGAACAACTCAGTGATTAGGATAATGAAGAACTGGAATCCTGCTCGAGAAGGCTCGGTCTGGAGTCCGGGCATGAAGTAAATTGGGAGATCTGAAACGTGTGAGTAATGGATCACGCAGATTGTTGGCTTTGAGAACTTACAGAAAGCGACCGCACACATGATCGAGTAGGGTAACTCAGCCAGGACAACGGATGAGGAGAAGACAAAGGGTGAGTACATCTTCGATGACTGCTCTCTGAAGAAGAGAGCTCGCTTGATGTGGAACATGACTTCGACTTGTGTGATGATGAGAGCGGGCAGAACAGTAACCTGGAACATGATGAAGACTCGGTTCTGCAGTGACGAACGAGAGTTGTCGAGGTTCAAGTACATGAGACCAGTGACTTATAAGAGGTTAGCTTAAGTCCTATAGTTTTACGGTAATTTAGGATAGACTTAGGGCAAAACTTACTAAGGGCGACAGCGACGTGACTGAAGATTCGAGTGAAGATGTAGTCAGGGGATCGCCAGAAAGACAGGAACATGCGCTTGCAAACAACCATCATCTGATGCTTGAACGGAGAAGCATATTCCTTCTCCAGCTCAGGATCGTTGACAGTGACCGCGGCACCAGCAGCCTGACGCTCGCGCTTTAGTCGAATAATGGTCTCCTTAACATCAGCAAACTCGGCGCTGTCCTCCCAGATATCGGCCCAGTCACGGTCTCCAACACGGGGAGCGCTTCCGGCACCAATGGCTTCAAGCATGTACTCAGCAACGTTATCAGTAGGGCCAGCCTCAGCGCCATGGCTCTTGAGATAGCTTCGCAGAACGTGAGCATCCTTGCCAATATCGCCAAAGTAAACGGTGCGACCACCGCGCTGGAGCAGAAGAAGACGATCGAAGTTCTCGAACAGAGCGGCGTTGGGTTGATGAATAGTGCAAAGAATAGCCTGGCCTGAAGCAGCGAGCTTTTTGAGGAAGCGGACGATGTTGAAGGCACTCTGACTGTCAAGACCGGAAGTAGGCTCATCGAGGAAAAGCATCAGTTCAGGCTTGGCAGCAAGCTCGACACCGATAGTGACACGCTTTCGCTGTTCGACAGTAAGACCAAATTCAGGGGTTCCAATGATAGCGTCGGCGATGGACTCCATCTCGAGAAGGGAGATGATCTCTTCGACATAGGCATAGCGCTCCTCCATAGGCACGTGGAATGGCTGTCGGAGTTCAGCAGAGAAACGGAAGGCCTCACGGACGGTCTGAGTAGGCTCGTGAACATCGAGCTGTTCGGCATATGAAGTGGATCGCTGGAAGGTCTTGCCTGGCTTCATAGCGTCGATGAGGATATCTCCGGAGATAACACCAATGTTCTTGCGTGCTGCGAGGACATCCAGAAGAGTAGTCTTTCCGGCACCGGAGGCACCCATCAGAGCGGTAAGCTCACCTGGGCGAACATAACCGAAGACGTTGTTAAGAAGTCGGCGTTCGCCTCCTGGTACAGGAACGTCATAGTTGAGGTTCTCCCAAGTGAGTACCCTCTCAGACTTGATGGTGATTTCGGAGCCCTCTTCGTTGGACTTGTCCTTGGTGCGACCATCTTTCTTAGCCGCGAGTTTCTCATTGAGAACCTTTCTCTCCTTGTTGGGCTTAGCATAGACCTTGGCAGCATTTCCTCCCATGCCGAAGTTGACGAATTCTCCGAGGACGACGTTGAGGATAAGGAAGAAGACAATAAGAGACATGACAATGCCCCAGTTTCTCCACAGATCTCCAACATGGTAAGAGAAGCCTTGAGCAACGTAGTCGCTGCCAGAGACGAGGGTGGTACCGGCTTTCGAGCCAGCAAGCGTGCAAACTTGGTGGTTGATATCGGTGTATTGGGGGCCCGCGGGGATCAGACTGTCTGCCGTGCAGGTCATTTCCAGGGATTTGAACTCATTCATCATCATTGCCGAGAAACTCAGTCCAAGGGGATTGATCCAGAAGATCCATCGGAGCCAGACCTGCTCTTGTTCATATTGGATAATGTAGCCTGACGTGACTACGAACAATGTGATGACCTGGGTATGGTTAGCAATTGAACGATTTCCAGGCCTCTAGTTTCGTATGTTCCCCCCTCGTCGTGATGTTTGATCTTGGTGATGTGGTGTTGAATCCACCAACCGCGTTGGATCCACAAGTCGGCGCGCTTGCGCCATACCTGTGAATAGCCTCGTGTAAGGACAATAGATGGGAGATTCAAGATCAACTTACAACAACAGCAAACTTGATAGCCTGATCAAATCCTGGCGATATGCAGCCAATAATTCTAAAGAACAGAGTCATCGCAATATTTCCCGATAGAATCATGAGCTACCGCGTCAAAATGAGTCAGTTTATGTCACAACATCCAATACCGCTGCGGGAAGATACTAACATAGAATGTAAAGAAGGAGCCGGCGTCTCGGACCAGGTTGGTCATGAAGTACACGATAATACTGAAGACCAAGATCTGCGAGGCAGCAAAAACCTGGTCGACGAAGATCTGAGCAATCCATAAAGCTGAGGGTCGGTGGAACGCATATGCCTTGTGCTTGTTCACAATCGTTCTGCCGGTCATAGTACTAGCGAGTTCCGAAAAGGCCTGGAAAGCATTGAAAAGAAGGGCTACAAAGAGCAGACCTCCCTTGCTGAATGCACTAGCTGAAGTCTTTCCGAGATTGAGGTAGAGGGTTCCGAGGACAATGGCGATAACGATGCTGCGGAACCATCCAACGAAGAGGTTGAATCGATCCTGCAGCTTGAGAGTGAACTGGCGCTTCATAAGGGCCCAGACCTGCAGATGGAAGCCAACTTGGTAGACTGAACGCTTGGATGTTCCACGCTTTCCCTCCTTCACAGCGAGCTGGAAGTTGTTATGCGTTTCCTCTTCGTGTGCGAGAGAAGCCTTGTACTCAGCCATCTCGGCTTCCAAGGACTTAAAAGCATCGGATTTCTTGAAGGCCTGCTCGAGAGTCTCAGGGTCGTGAGGGGTGTTTTCCTCGGAGCGACCCGGGGCGTACTCCCTCTCGAAGGCATCCGTGCAGCCTGTCAGGTAGTCGGCGCTGGTCTGGCGGGGACGAGGGGCGAAGCCAAGGCTCTCGAAATAGCTACGGGCAGAGGCTGCTGGGCCAAAGTAGACCTCCTTGCCGCCGTCAATAACCATAACCTTGTCGAAAAGGTTGTAGATGTTCTCGGAAGCCTGATACAGGGAGACGAAAGTGGTGGTCTTGTACAGGTTGGTCTGGATTCGCAGGGACTTGGCAAAATCGAGAGCGGTACTGGCGTCAAGACCTCGAGTGGAGTTATCCCACGAGAAGACTGCACCACTGCAGATCATAGCCTCTGCGATACTGACTCGCTTTCTCTCACCACCACTGACTCCACGGACGAAATGGTCACCAACGATGGTGTGGCGGGTATGCTCAATGTTGAACATCTTAAGAAGCGTAGTGATAACACTCTCCTTGAACTCCTGCTTGGACATGTTTCCAGGTCTCAACTTGGGCATCTTCGTATCGAGAGCAAAGCCAAGGGTCTGCTCAACAGTAAGGGTGGGGTGGTGAATGTCGTCTTCGGCGGAGTATACAGCTTCACCACGGTACTGGTCGAATTCGGTGTTCTTCCACTTTCCGTACAGAACCTCGCCCTCAACTGCGGTGTAGCCCCAGCGCTGGTTGGCGATGGTCTTGAGGAATGTGGTACATCCTGAGCCGGGTTTGCCTAGAACAAGTACCATCTCGCCGGGCTTGCAAACACCCTTGAACCTATCGAGAAGGGCGACCTGCTCAGGCTTGGGGCCGAGACCGAGCATTCGAATAACAGGGGTGATAACGTCGAAGAAATTCACAAAGGCATCGGGAAAGGTAGGCACAAAATTGGACATGCCACCATAGCCCTTGACGGTCAGGTCGTTCCAGTAGACACCAATGTGCTTGGACTTGATGCCAACCTCCCTCTCCCGATCAAGACCGCCACGAAGAGCAGCCTCAAGATCAAAGATGGACTCGACCTCATTATCTTCAGCATGGGCGTTCTTTTCAGGATCGCCGACGCTAGCTCTGCTCTTCCTTCTGCTAGCTCTCGAGACACCAGTAAACTCTCTCTGAAGCTCAGCGAACTCAGCCTCAGCTTGCTCAATAGATACGCCACCGTTGCTTTGCTCAGCAGGGCCGTGGCGTGTCGAGTCGGTATCGATAGAGTTGCGATAAGCAGGATCAGCCTGCTCAGTGTGATGGTTGGCAGCAATGGCCTCCTCCGCCTTTCCAAGGTCTTTTTCCGCCATGGTGACTTATATCGGTTGGGTCGTGCGTGTAAGTCGTTTTTAACTGGGAGCCCAAGGTCACCCGTCGCGAAAAGGAGTAGTACACTAAGACGAACTCAGTTGAAATGGCGTATTAATTAGAAGAATTAGAGGAATAAAGAATGATTATTATAAAAAGTTATATGATACAGCAGCCAATGTGTTTGATCACAGGCTCACCGTTAACAAACAAGAGAGAGAGGGCGCATGGGAAAAAGATGCCGACATCCCGCACTATAAGTCAACAAAGGTGCGTGCAGCCAAAAAAGTTAAAATGGGTCTATATTCTCCTTTGGAACAATTTGATCCGGCATTACCAATCAACAACACGAAGCGTCCGTTGTAAATGTCCGCTGGTAGGGGCAGGGGTTAAGTCGGCTCCACCAGCTGGGAATTGCTTCAGACAAGGAACTTCCACCTGAGTCAAGTGGACGAGTAAGTCAGCGCCGTGGGGCAGATGTGCAGGATTTGACTCATCTCGGCTAAGAACCTCCCCCAAGGCCGAGGTGAGAAAGAGTCTGATTGGTTTAGTGAAATAAGGTAAAGGATTGACACCCTCCGACGGGGAAGCTAGGGGGACTATTTAACTCTGCTTACGAGTTTTAGGCGTGTATATCCGAAAATCTCGGGTTGTGGGAGTCTCTGAACTGATGAAAAAGAGCTATTCTCTACACATTTTGGATCTGATAATGAATTGTTTCTCTCGTTCACAAACTTATTCGGACTCAAGTGCCGTGTCAACATTTTGAGTTCATCGCTGCAACGCAACATTGAAACCCAAAGCTCGGGTATCATATCCACCCAATCTCGCTCTGTGGAGAAGAAACAGTGGAAACGTCAAATGCTAAAAAAGGGCAACGGCTAGGACATCTCGTCGACTCTCGCCCCGGCGCGGTACCTTAAGTCCGAGAATACGATTTTGAGTGGCTGCTTTGATTCAGCACTTTACGATCATTTCGACTCATATCCAAAGATGGAATAGTACAGATGTCGGCCAGTCGAGAGGTTTATAAGACAGGCATCGGCGTGACACATTGATTCTTTGTTAATATTGCAATGCAATGCAGTTTAATTTGAAGAGCTTTACAGTGATCGGATGAATCTCCCCGCGATGAGATCATCTTACCAAGATCGTTTGGAGATTCACATTCACGATCACTCTTTTCATGATATGACATCTCAGCTTCACATGGCAGCGGATCCTTGTCATTCCTCTAATCAATCTGAACAGGGATTGAACGGCGAGACCCACCTATAAGCTGCGTTTCAGGGGACAGTCTCCCAGAGGTCTCGTCCGGTTTACTGCGATTTTCGACGATCTCCGCCTCTGTCCGGTTTCTAGTCCGTTCTTCGTCCGCCGCCATCGGCCGAGTGAAACTCCGCCTCCCTTGTCAAAGAGGTTTTGCCGAATAATTTAGAAGATTCATAGAGTTTTATGGAATACGGATAGTTGCTGTAATTTTAGCTCTATGGAGTACATCATGTCAGGATCTTGATGTGAAATGGCTTTTTAAGTTTAGTGTCCCTTGTGATAAGATCTTTAATTCTGGTGATATACGAAGCTTCCATCATCGTACTCGGGTTCAGGCTTCAGCCAAGTGACTGTTACCCTCCTCACTTCATCATCGCTCTTCACCTGTGATTTTTTTGACAAATCTTTGAACGCATCCTGAGCTTGTTTGCTAGTGTAAACATTACCCAAACCTGGACCTATCAATTGGGAATCGCATTCAGAGCTGGCGTATGATGTTTGGTAGCATCTAATGGGTCCTTTCGATACTCTCCCTCTGTTGCAGAGTGTGTGGTATCGATAGGTTTCTCTATCAAAAGCCAGTTGCTAGCTTCTACAATTCTAATTGACAGCGATGATTTCAGAGACAGGCGCAGCAAGAGAACGTTGCACGGGAATCTGAAGATGAGAATGAGGCCAAAACCTGATCTCAGTTTATAGGACTTTAGAACAATATCTTCTAAACTTAAGTCATTCTAATGATGAATTTTGAAGAGGCTTTATGCATGTTTTACCTGTCTTAGCAGACAATTATTCGGTAGTAGGAGGATGCTGCTTGAATTCAGGTCAAGCAAGAAGCATCTTCCTTGGTATGAAGCTGTGTTCTTTCCTAAAACGGCAGGAGCTTGATCGCTGTCGTCATTCTACGTTACTCAATAGAACCTACGAATGCTTCAACTTAAACATCACATCACATCAACCTCAACAAGTTGGAGTCCACGCGTTACCTGCCTACGAACTCTCATCAATGCGATGATGCAAAATGCGGTGTCTTTGTCCGCGTGTGCAACGCGTAATTTTGGCCTTTCATGATGTTGGCTATCACTCAATCGGCCAATCTTTTGCCGTCTGACAGGCCCATGAGGAACTTTTGACATGAGCCACATGCATTAAAAGGCAACGACTTCGCTTCTTATCTGTCTGGCCCCTTCAAGATCACGCAAAATGAGCTCAACTTGTCTAAATGATGGCTCCTGGGGACCTGGTGTTCGGGGATGTCGAGGCGATTTCGACTTCACCCAGAAATTCGAACGCATATTCCTCTCAATTATACCAACTGCGGTGTTCGTCGCGGCAGCTGTTGCCCGCATAACCATTTTATTGCAGCGCGAAAGGATAGTTGGAGGTATCGTTCTTCAGTCGATTAAGATTGTGAGTCTTGGAAAGCGAATTTCGAGCTGATACTGACTAAAAAAGGCATTTCTGGCCGTTTATGCGATTATTCAAGTTGCGGTTCTAATTCTCATCGCGACTGGGGCCCCAGGCGTTGTCCACGGCCTCTCTATTGCTGGGTCATCCCTTGTAGCCACCGCCGCCTTCTTAGCGGTCATTTTATCCTCATTCGAGCACTCCTGTGCCCGAAGACCGTCGACTTTGCTCAATGTCTATATATTGCTCACGCTTCTGTTTGACATTGTGCAAACGAGAACGGCATGGCTTGCATCTCACCATGACATTCAGCCCCGCCTGTTTACTGCGTCTGTCGTCGTCAAAGCTATCATTCTATGTCTCGAGACGATTCCCAAAACAAAATGGATTCACTGGAATGCTGATGAGCATAGCCCAGAGGAGTCGAGTGGCATATTCAGCATTGGTGCTTTCGCCTGGCTGAACCAGCTTTTCATGAGAGGATATCGAGGGGTTTTGGTTATAGATGACCTTTATCCCCTCGATGAGAACATGGCTTCCAGCAAATTGTATAGCCAGTTTGTCAAAAGGATTAGGGTGCATAGATACAACCGAGAGCTCAAGTCTGGACTTCTGAAGGACCTGGCCAGAACACTCATCAGCCCGTTCCTCCTCCCAATTGCCCCTCGCGTTGCCCTCATCGCCTTCAAATTCTGCCAGCCCGTCTTCATCGATGCTACTCTTGAGTACCTGCAGATGCCCGAGACGCCAGCGACGAAAAACATGGGTTACGGCTTGATCGTCGCCGCATTCCTCATTTACGCAGGCATTGGACTTTCTTCCGCCTTCTACGGCTACTATCAGGAAAAGGCCGTCTATATGATTCGAGGCTGCCTAGTCGCTGCGATTTACCAAAAGACAACACAGATGAAGACCACGGCCGCTGATGATTCTGCTGCTTTAACGCTTATGAGCGCTGATGTTGAACGCATTATCAGGGGTGCTGGGACAGCTCATGATATCTGGGCAAACAGTATAGAAGTAGCCATCGGTTGCTGGCTTCTGCATGGGAAGATCGGTCTAGCGTTCCTGTCTCCGCTTGTCGTGATCGGTGTTTGCGCTCTTTTGCTGTCCTGGTTGGTCACGTTCGTTGGCAAGAGGCAGAGCATATGGATGGCGAAGATCCAGAATAGAGTGGGATTGACTGCCAACGCCATCTCCCAGATGAAACTCTACAAAATCTCAGGTATTGCTGGACCTGTTGCAGATCTCATACAGACGCTCCGCGTTGGAGAGATCAAGGTTGGGAATAGTTATCGCTGGCTGTTGATAAGCGCTGCCGTGCTGGGCTTCTTCCCAATTTGCATCTCTCCAGTCGTTACCTTTGCATTCACGTCCACAAACTTGACTGTGAACACACTCTTCACTTCGCTATCATACATACTCCTGTTCACTACTCCCGTCATAGGTCTTTTCCAGAACCTTCCGGGTATTTTTGCCGCCCTGACATGCATGGCTCGAGTGCAAAGATTCCTTGCTGCAGATCCACGCCACGACTTCCGAATCCATGAAACTGCTTCTATTGCCGAGAAAAGTCCATCCAACCCGTCCAACGATGTAGCATTTTCTGTTGAGAACGGCTGCTTCGGATGGGGAGGTGAGAAATTGACACTGAGTCAAATACGTGCTTCTATTCCGGCCCACAAACTCACCATAGTGGTGGGCGAAGTGGCATCTGGCAAGACTACCTTCTGTAAGGCTTTACTTGGGGAGCTGCCTGTCGCTTCAGGGACCATCAGAACGTATATACCATCGCATCGCATCGGCTACTGTGAACAAACCCCTTTTCTTTACAATGCGAGCTTCCGAGAAAACATTGTTGGCCATTGCGCTTTTGATCCGGCCAAGTACGACGAAATCGTGGAAGCTACTATGCTCGCACCAGACGTTATACTTTTACCACAAGGTCATGATACAAAGATTGGCAGTAATGGGATTATGCTGAGTGGTGGTCAAAAGCAGCGTCTTTCGGTTGCTCGTGCTCTATATTCTGAAGCTGATCTGATGATTTTCGACGATATCCTAAGTGGTCTAGACCTGGATACTGAATCAGAGCTCTTTAGACGTGTATTTGGACCCGGGGGTATCACTCGTCGACGCAACGTCACCGTGGTCATCTGTACACATTCCGTCAGGAACCTACCTCTGGCAGACCATATAATTGCTCTTGGTAATGGTACAGTCATCGAAGAGGGGAGTTTCCCGGACTTGATAGAGAACAAAAAGTATGTTCATAGCCTCGGCGTCAAGCACAGAGATACGGATTCTTCTTCAGATGATGAAA